GGCTACTATAGATATCTTCCAACGCCTTTCCTTTAGCTCTGTATGCTTGTTGGTATGTCAGATTAACACCATATTTTGTTTGCAACTATCTCTTAATGTCATTAGGATGTTTGTCTATATGAGACCTCACAGCCTCAATTACAATACATGATGTTAGACTTGAACTTTTCCTGCGGGTAACAATCAAACTATCTTGTGCATAATGTATGTGCTCAATTTTAAACGTCTTCACGCATAGAAATAAAATTTCCTTTCCCACTGCATATGCTGTGATCTTCCAAGGCCAGCCTTCAATGTCACATATCACTCTCATCTTCTTTGTATTATTGTTATTATACTTGAAAACTTATGAACAATGCTATATTTGTGTAATGCTTTTCTAAAGGCTTCAACATGGGGAAAAGTCTGCCTTACACCTGACAACAAATCCCTCCACTTAGAAGAATTAAGCTCTAGCATCAGTGTAGGTGCACTTTCTACTGCACATGGTAATGTTAGAAGTTCTCCACAAGTTTGGTAGGTTAGACATTCTACCCTGCTTTCAAAAGCTACATGTTTAAAATCATGATCTTCAATAGTAAGAGCAGGAGTGTTTGGATTTGAAAATGACAAGAATTGCTCCATCCTGCATTCACAATCCATTCAACTTCATGTCTCCTTTATATTTGCATTGACAATTACAACTTCAGTTACTAAAATAATAACTATGCTATTGCAAATGATAACTTTCTTTAGAGGAATTAAACACAGCAACTTACATTGGTGCTTCCTCAATTATTGTTTCTCTACTACCATTTCCTTTACAACCTATATATATATGACTACTTCTAACATTATGTTCAAATAGGGTAGCAATTCCTTATCAACAAGGTCTATAAGGGTCATTTCATCATATCACAGTATATTTCATGTCACTCAAATTAGTATCAATGCCAAAATAAAATGATATCATTATTTTGAATTCTTCAAGCATCATCTCTTCTCTTATCATTTTCACCCTTATGCTCCCCCCATCATATTGTATTTTACCTTTAATATTTTTTACAAAATGTCTCTCTATATGGAAATAACAAAATAGTTCCTTTCCAAAACTAGAAACAAAAGAAGCCATTTCTCATATCAACATGAAATAATGAAATAGTCATTCATCAACATGTATATTTTTTTAAACATCATAATCAAATATCTATTACGTTTTATCTAACAATAACTATCGTTTTTATATTCACAACTTTGCATTTGTCATTTACAACTTTTGGTTTTTGCATTTACAATACAACTGATATATCATTTATCATTTATCCATGCTGAATAAGCATTAGTACCCACATTTTTCAGCTTTAAGCATGAAGAGAAAATGAAAAACTCAATCATTTACGTACAATAACCCACATCAACTTCAACTATCACATATGAGAGGAGAAAATTTCAAGGAGGAGAGGAAATTTACCCACGTACAGTAGATGCAACAAAGGAAGAATGTTTGCTTATATATACCCACATATAGAAGCTAAACAAAACAAACAACGCATGTATAGAAACTAAAAAAAAGGAACACGAGAACGAGAAGAAGAAGGAAAAGGAGAAGAAGGAGAAAGAGAAGGAGACTGAGGAGGAGAGGGAGATGGACTAGAAGAATACCATGAACGAGAGAAGAAGATGAGAACATGAATAAACGCGTGTGAATTTTTCTTCAGTAAGGATTGAAATTTTTGTTTAGTTTGAGAGCAATTTGGTGATTTCATTTGATTTCCTAATGACAAAAGGATCTTAAGGGACTCTAGGGAAATTATACCATTTCGAGGGACCAATTTGTCAAATAGATAATGTAAATGGATTTTTTTGTCATTTTTCCTTTTTTAATTTTAAATTATATTTTTAGAGTTTATGTTATTTTAATTAAGCCTCATAATTTAATTGATTAATTATATTAATTTTTAATGATTAAAATTCATCATTTTTTAAAATTAAAATTAAAAACTTTTATAATTTTAGTAAAAGATTATATACTTTAGAATTAATTACATAATTAAATTAATTTTTTTGGCTAAAAATATTAATTCAATTTTCTACAAAGTATTTTTGTTTAGAAAATGTTAATCATTCATTAATAATTTTAATTTTCATGGACTAATATATTTAATCCATTACACAATAAAAAATTAATTAAAATAAAATAAATTACAAGGATCTAATTTAAAATCAATTGAAACTTGAAAAACTTAAAGATTAATTTTCTCTAACAATAATAATAATAATAAAGAAAATAGATATAATCATGTTTTCGACTATCAAACAATTTTCACAATCTTTGATTAGTTCTTAAAGTTGATTTTGTGTCTATTCTGAATCTCTCTCTCTCTGTTGTTTTTTTTTTTTTTTATAGCTTAAGAAGTAAGTTTTACTAACAGTAACAATTATCTTCTCAATGTATTGGATGCAAATGGTAGACTCCTCTCAATTAAATTGTTATTTACATAAACTCTAGAATTTATACCTTCTGCTATTTTGTTTTGAACCGATTTTATAGCTGGTTTATTGGATTTTCCGTTTGATCGGCCCGTTTAAGAAGTCATTTTATCATTGCAAATATCTCAATACGGATTAACATACTTTCCCACTCTTTAGTCTCATTAAGTAACAAATGATGTCTCATTAATTGCCATAACAATGGTAAAGAAGAATTTAACTCTACTTTTACTTGCATAAATGTTAATTTTTCCAAAGTACAATATAAGTCAATATTAACTAATTTACATTTCTAAAAAAAAAAGTTTATTAAAATATTAATTTTAAAATTTTTTTTACATCTTTTCAATTGTATCCTTAAGAGCAATAAATATAGGACAAGACTTAGATATTTAACCTTACATACTTAATATTTTTTTAATCAAATAAAAAAGTGGATTTTAATGTGTTTATAATATTAATAATAAGATTTTGTCATAAAATAAATAATAAATAAATGATCCACATGTTATGATTTGGAAACAAACAAAATATCTAAAGCTAAGTATATAATTTTTCCCCACAAATATAACATTTGACTTATTTAAAACATTCTCATTAATTATTCAATAAAGCAAAAATATAAATAATTACCCAATGTTCTACATTTTGAATTAAGTAAAGCCTTATATTATAATCCAAAAGGAGTAAATTAAAAGAATATCCCTTACCACCAAATTCACTCATAATTGTCCTGGATCATATTTCCAAGAACTATTGCAAAGTCAGCATTAAAATATTGGCAAACGCATATTTATGGTATCTTAGTAAACTGCATCTATGACAATCAAATTTGGCTCACGAGTACAGTTGGTATGACTTCCATGGTATTTTTGTTCAAGAGAATCATAGGCAAAGACCCCATAAAAAAAATTATGTCAAGTTGAAATCCTTTCATAATTAAAATTTATAAATTCAATACTCTTTATTCCATGTTTTAATGTTATAATCTCTGAAGAAAAAAATATTTAGCATCAATCTTTTTAGGAGATCATTACTTGTCGTTCCCTTTTCTTATCAAGGGGTCTCCATGGCATGTGATACGTTGGTAATTGGACTATTTGTCTTAGATTTAATTATTAGTACCACCATGTTGATATCGAAATTAAATTTGGCCCCCAACTTTACATAAGAGAATTTACTGTTGCCTAAAGACCATTCTCTGAGACATTGATACGCCTTGTTAAGAAACAGGATAGGTGACTTGTTACCATCTCTAACTGTCACTCTACACCTCGTAGGCTAAGACTCTTTAAAGCCTATGAATTTCCCAAACTTTGTTATATAGAATAACTCCACTCAAGCAAGAATTGAGTGGTGACTCATTTGTTGACTACAAGAAGCAATAATCAAAGGATTTAAAAGTATCTTACGTTGATATTAAAATTGCTAAAGTCACTTTCCTTTGCTTGATCCAACTTTAAACAAGTACCCCTTCCCCAAAACCAAAGCTCAAGGGTTTTGAGAAGGAATTACAGAGCACAAAGCTTTGTTCTCTCTGTGACTTTGGGAAGAAGAGTTAACCATAGAGTTGAAAGTAGAGGACTAAAAATTTGATGGACTAGCAAGTCAGACTGAGTCAACCTCAGTCAAGCTGATATTTTCAGTGCAGATCAGCTTCGGTCAGGTTTTCCTACCAAAAACGCATGTCATGCATTCAAATAACTTGTTTAAAGAACATTCTTGAATACAAACTTAAACTATTTTTTGGCCAAAGAACACAAAATTCAACAGCGAGACACTTTTTTTTTTTAGTTTTCAAATTACAAAGCAATGTGACACCGATACAATACTATTATAGGATCTAAGCTCAAGGCATCAGAGTAAAAATGAAAGCCACATGAACCAATTTGACGTTCATCCAACACCAAAAAATAGCAAACACACAATACATGAGTATTTTTCTCTTCTCCGTTCCTTTTGGCCAATACGTTCATATTTTCAAAGACAACAGAGTTTTCAAGGCTCACTGAAATTCTAATGAAGGGTTTGGACATACAGAGAAGGGTCAAGATCACCGGCAGAATGAAGTTCAGAGTTTCTTTGAAGGTCCAGGATAGCGCGTTTTCATAGACTAATGATCTAGCTCTTAATCGCCTATTCAAAACCATTTCTAAACACCATACTTTCTCTTCAAACTTCTTGCGCCTAAACATTATGATCATCTTGACAAACGCATTGCCATTAATTCACTAATTTACAGAATTCCATAGCTCACCATGGCTATCATCAACGATCAATCATGCATAGTATGTAGATTCAATCTAACATAGCAATAGAAACATGACGGAACCCTTCATGCCCAGTACACAACTATGCACACTACTTCTTTAGTAAGTATAGAATTCCATAATCCCAAAGAAGAAAAATTCTAGCTTAAACTATCAGATTAATACCCCAAATTTCGATTATGTCAACATTTGAAGTTTCAATGTTCGTCACCAATCAAGAATAAGAGCAAATACACAGGCAAAGAGAAAAGCAAAGAAAAATATGCGAAACACATGTAAACTGAATTCAATAGAGGACGTCGATATTTTGATCCATAACAAGAATGAAAGGGTTCACATGAGAAAGATGAAAGCTTTAACTAATAATTTCTAGTACAACCCGACAAAAATTTATAAAAAAAAAAACCATCACCGGAGTAATTGATCACTTTTCCGATGAGTTAGGTCCCCTCTTCTTGCCGAAACCGACAACGGCAGTGACAAAGCGGCGATTGTACTGCATCCTCTTGTGGGCGCGGCCGCGAGGCTTCTTCTTCTTGTCTTGCTTTGCAACTTTAGGAGTTTGGCCTCTCACCTTACCAGCACGAGCCAGAGATCCGTGCACCTTACCTGCAATCACAATCAAAACCGCCAAATCGAATTACAGATCCACAACAACGAAACCATCGCATTTCAAAGTATATGAATCGAAGAGCTTACCCATTGCTCCAACGAGTTGCTATTGATTTCACACCTTAAATGAGCGACTACCGACGATTAAGCAGCGGCAGCACAATTTGAAGAAGACCATTGATTAGGTTTTTCTTCCATATAAATACAAGTTTCTGGGCTGTAGACTTTGGGCTCTTGAGTCCAGAACATATGTTTATGAAGTTCTGCCGGGTTTTTCTGCCCCAAATTGATAGTGAAAATAGGCCCAGTTTCATGCTCAACTTCTTGGATCCAAATAAACCAAAAAAAAAAAAAATACATGTTTTGTCTTTCCAATAGCAAATATTTTGTGTCCGCATCAGTGTTATCAAAATCGAATTTTCTTTGCATCCAAAAAAATATTCGAATTTCCTTACTGTAATAGAAAAAATTCGTAGACGGGAGAAACCTGATCGCATACATTAAAATCCATTGGGTACAAGACTGAAAAATGAGGCAACAACAGTCTAAGCAAAGAAGAACATATACAGTATATACTGTTGATTGTCGTGTTTGAGAATCAACATTGGTTGAGATGAACCAGAGGATTAAAAATGCGATTCAGGGCTCGATCATATTTGAGTTCATCATTTTCATAGATTCAGGGCTTGTTTGTTTTCTGTTTTTTTTTTTTTTTTGAAAACATAAAAAAGTTTAAAAACTTGTTTGGTTAAGTAATTTTAATTTAATTGTTTTCAAAATAGTTTTCTTTTTTTGTTTTTAAAAACAAAAAAATAAGAAAAACTTCAATTTTTTTTCATTTTAAATTATATTATTTTTTATTATTAAAAATTATAGTTACCTTAATTAATTTCTATCATAAATCATCACTATTAGCCATATATAATAATCACTAGTAATATATTTTTTAATTCTAAAACTGCTTTTTTATACAAAAATTTTTGGAAGGGCTTCAGGCTCGCCCGCAATCCACGAGGAGAGCAAGAGCTAGGATGCCTCTCTCAGTGCCTCAACCAACTCCAAGATCAAACCCCCTCCACGGTGTGAAAAAGTCTAACCCCTTCGCCAATTGAACCTAAGGATAAGGGGTAATTCTAAAAGTATTTTTAAATTAACATAATCAAATAAATTTTTATTTTATTTTATTTTTATAAATAATTTTAAAAATTATATTACAAAACAATTTTTTTAAAAAAATGAGAATAAAAACCAAATAGGCCGTCAAATTGCTTATCTCTCTCTATTTTTTTTTTTTAATTCACATGAGATGATTGTGCTATTCTAAACATTCTTCAACCAATAAAGACAAGTAACATTTAAGAAATTGAAGAATTTTCCCTCGAGCTGCTAAATAAAATATTTTATTATTATTAGGATGCACTTCTTGATGAGGTCATTCATGGTTCAGTAGAGCATTACTCAAATTAACTATTGTGAAGAAGAGCTTCGAGTAGGTTAGTTTTTTTTCTCTCTTGAAAATTGTGCTTCAGTGGACATTGCAATCATAGATGATAAGGGGTGTAAATGGGCGGGTGCGGGCCACCCATGGCCGTACCCGTTACCCACCCGTTTATAGGTAAACGGGTGGCCACCCACCCATACCCGCTTATACCTGTTTGCACTCATTTTTAAACGGGTGTAAATTAGTTTGGGCGGGTCTGGGCCACCCGTTTAACCACAACACCATTTTCTTTAAAAAAAAGAAAAAGGAAAGAATCAAAACATATGATTTTCATCCCACTATAATTTAATATAAGTATTTAAGTAACATCATTCTAAAAGTTTAAATCTCTAAATAATACAAGGACAAATATTTTAACAGCAAATACTAAATAAACAAGGATCAATAATTCTAATTTTTAAAGTGAAAACTCATTTAGTCTCATCGATCCTCATTTATCTTCTTCGGAGTCACTTGATACGACATAAGATTGAGCTATTGACTCTTCCTCTACAAGACAAATTAAGACAATTAGATTAGTAAATAATAATAAATATTATATAATATAGAGAATTAAAATGAATATAAATAAAATAACTTATTCATATTATTATTACCATCAACAGCACGTAAAGTCTCATCAAAATAGTTAATATCAATTTCTTTTAATGGGGTGCATGATATTGATGATAGCCAATTTTGGGTGCAAATGAGTGCCTCGGCCATTTTTGAAGATAAGGAACTCCTGAAAGTATCTAGTACTTGACCCCCAATACTAAAAGCAGATTTCAAAGACACTGTGGAGACAGGCATAGCCAACAAATCACGTGCAATCAAGCCCAGAACTTTATACTTGGAAGAATTCACTTTCCACCATGCCAAAATGTCAAAACTATCACCATAAGCATCAACTAAATCTGCATTTAGGTACTCTTCCACCTCTGAAATTGATTTCTTTGGACGCTTACTCAATACAGTGGCTAAGAAATCTTGCATTGCTGCATCAATGATTTTTTTAGAAGATGGAGGAACTTACTTCCCCCTACCACTGGCACTACTATCCCCCACCTCTGTATCAATTTTAGATGGTTCACTACCACTGGCCGTAAGAGTTGCAGAATACTCATCAAACAAGCAATGCAAAAGCACCATAATCTTCTTTTTCATCATTTCCCTCTTTGTGTAATCACCAATAAAATGTTTAAAAGAAACTTCAACATAAGAAAATTTGTATCTAGGATCAAGAATCACAGCTATCACTAACAATGGATTCATGTTTTCTTCCTTTTCTCAGTACTCATCATACTTACTTTGCATCCTTTTTGCCATGTCACTCAACAAAGAATTAGATTCAGCTACAATCAATTGTGTCTTGATTGCAACTATATTTTAAAAGCATGTGTTTGATGTGACATAATTTGATCCAGAAAATTAAAGAGTCATAGTATAAAACAACTCCAAAAAGGTGAGAAATTCCTTTGCCATACTCCATTCATAGACATTAAGAGGTTTAACTGTACCTTCATCACCATCATGATCACCAAGTTCATCTTCATCCTCCTCTTCCACCCTATTAACATAGCTTGAGCTAGAAGATAGTTTAACTTTCTTTTTTAAGTAGTTCTTGTAATCTTGATCCTCATCCTCCATTCTATCAAAGATCTTAGTGAACTTAACAGCATTCTGCAACATGATGTATGTTGAATTCCACCTATGAAGATAAGTAAAAGATTTAAATGTTAGAAAAAAAAATTGCATATCATAATGCAAATAATCATAATTTAACAATTATGTAAATTACTTGGTGGGACAATCCATGCTAAGAAGACTCATTGAATCAATTCTCAATTTTTCACCAAGCCCTTTAAATTTTTTAAGCCTACTAAGAGAAGATCTAACAAACTTGATTGCATGCCGAATAAGTTCAATAGATTGATTCATATCTTTAAGGCCTTCTAAAACAATTAAATTCAAAATATGAGTAGTACATTGCATTTGCAAGAATTCTCCATCACACACTAGACCTCCCAAATCTTTCAAATGCTTGTTTAAAAACACAATAGCAGAATCATTAGAAGAAACATTATTAACTGTAATTGCAAATACTTTCTCAATACCCCAATAAAATAAGCATCCCTCATTTCATTGCCAATTGTATCCTTTTTATGGTTTTCCACCATACAAAAATTCAAAATTCATTTTTGTAATGTCCATTCCTCATCAATCTAATGAGCTATCAGACACATGTAGTTGAAATGTTGAATTGAAGTCCAATAATCTGTGGTGAATGACACACGAACTTTAGATTTCTTAAAATACCTTTTCAAACTTTTCGCTTCTTCTAAATATATCTTGTAGCATAACTTAGCCATAGTGGTGCGAGAGGGGCATGTAAATCTTGGTTCAAGCACTTCCAATATTTTTTTAAAACCTTGCCTTTCCATAACTTGAAATGGCATCTCATCCAAAATAATGAATTCAACAATTGCTTTTTTGTATTGTTCTGCATTATACGGGTGATAAGTCATTGATTTACTAAAGGAAGTAGGGAATAAGGATTGTCCCGCCTTGGCTTTGTTTAGATTCTTTGGTCAAGAATCAAAATGCCGCTAAAGGTTCTTAGTCCCAGTTTTAGAAGAATGGCCAGCAAAATCCTTTCCACAATAGTTGCATTTAGCCCAATGCTCACCTTTTTTGTTTATAAACTTCTCAAAATGATTCCACATTTTAGATGTTGTGCTCCTTTTATGTTTAGAGGGTGGTGCTTCTTCAGCTTGGGTAGGTTTAGACTTAATGGATGCTGTGACGGTGGTGGTAGTTTTAGGTTCACGGTCCCCTTTCATAGCTTGCACATTTTCCATAGTGAATTTTAAAGTAAAAACTATATAACAACCAAAACAAACCAATCATAGACATATTTAATGTTAGGTGTAGCATATTAACAATCACACACAATACAAATACAATTACCAACAAGCCTTAGGAAATAGATAATGTCTTATGGGAAAGACTAAAAAGTCTCTAGATCAAAGTAACAAAAAGGACAAACTTCAACAATAAAAAGAATATGCCACCAATAGTAAATTAAAGCAAATGTAGAAGTTTGTTTATGAATTTTTAATAGACTGAATCTATCTAAGAATTTGCTTAAAATATAGAGCTTTGTTTGCTATCAGTGAGAATTATAGGCAGAACAGAATACCGAACCAATAACAGCCAGCTAGAAAAATTAAACAATATGATCAATATAACTAAAGAATCATGAATCTTCTAAACACTTAAACATGCATATAAATTCAAAATTCAATATAACCACAGAGCCAAATCAAGAGTTCAAACCAAATTATCAACATAATATAACCAGAGTGGTAGAGTCTAGAAAGTTTAGACTAAAATTCAATATGATCAGTGTATCAATCACCTAGAAGTTCAGACCAAATTACCAACAGATTATAACCGGAGAGTCAAAGAAGAGGACGAGAATCCATAAATATAACCAAAGAGGAGAAAATAAATTAGTGAATGCAAAATGGTGAATGGCTGAACACTGTAGTACTATACAGTGATTTAGTGAAGCTGAAGCGAAATCTCGAATAAATGAGAAGTCTACTTAGAGAAGCTGAAATCCTGAACAAGCTTCACTCGATTGGCTGTGAAAACTAAAAAGGAAGCATTGAAGCATGTTAGAACGAAGAAAACTTAAAATTTTAAAATTGAGATTATGAGCCATCAGCC